TCCGCCATTTTTTCCCCCTTTTCCGGCGGGTGCCTTACCTCCCTTGGGCTGGGCCAGCTGGTGGTCGGCCTGCTCCGTCTCTGCCGCTTGCCAGCTACGCCTCGGCCGGCGCAGGGGGCGGAACCACGCATGCGCGGCGCTCCCGGGCAGGGAAAGTCCTCGACTTACGACCGGTTGGGTAGTCCTCGACTTACGACCGATTTAGCCCTCGACTTACGACCGGTTTAGTCCTCGACTTACGACCGGTTGGGGTCACGGCATTAAAAAGGTTGAGAACCACTGATCTAGTCCAACTCCCTGCTCAGGCAGGAAACCCTATTCCATTTCAGACAAATGGCTGTCCAGTCTCTTCTTAAAAACCTCCAGTGTTGGAGCCTTCACAACTTCCTGAGGCAGGCAGTTCCACTGGTTAATTTTTCTGTCAGGAAGTTTCTCCTTAGTTCTAGGTTGCTTCTCTCCTTGATGAGTTTCCATCCATGGCTTCCATCCGTTGTTAAGTGAGTTTTTGCCCCATTTTATGACCTTTCTTGACAAGGGAGCTGTAGGTTAAATGTCCCATGGCCACCCATGACTCAAAATTAACACTTGGAGGAAAGAGTGTCAATGGAGCTTCTCCATCATCCAGGTCCTGGTTGACCCAATGGTGATTTTTTCAGGAGGCAACTGGACTTTCTTGTTTTTCCTTTGAAGACATTTCGCTTCTCATCCCAGAAGCTTCTTCTGCTCTGACCGGATGGTGGGGAAATGGAAGGATTTATACTCCTTGCAGACAGCTGGTCATTTGCCTTCTTTTAGAAGGTCGTTGAGGCCACTTGGAGGTTTAATCTGTGAGACCTCAGGCTCACCTGAGGGGTGCAAATGGGTGTGGAGTCCCCTTGGGACTGCTGAAAGGATCGTGTTGTAGCCTGGAGATAGATAATGTCCTATCCCTCCCCCTCTGTTGACGGAGGACCATTCAATTTTGACCTCTTTGACCCCTCTCTCAAGCCAGCTGTCCTCTCCGTCCAAAATGTGAATAAAGAGCATCTACAGCCGGGGTCCAAAAAGTCCCTATAACAAATCCCTGATCCCAAATCCACACCACTGCAGGTAAAGAAGGAGACGGCAGGTCAAACGCAAACTTGGGGCCACCATCTTGACTTTTTCGACCTTCTGGACACAGAAACTTGTGCATTTCTGCATTTAATGCAGAGAAGGAGGAGGGGGGACAGGATAGCAGTGTTCCAATATCTCAGGGGCTGCCCCAAAGAAGAGGGAGTCAAGCTATTCTCCAAAGCCCCTGAGGGCAGGACAAGAAGCAACGGAGGGAAACTAAGCAAGGAGAGAAGCAACCTAGAACTAAGGAGAAACTTCCTGACAGTCAGAACAATTAACCAGTGGAACAACCTGCCTCCAGAAGCGGTGAATGCTCCAACACTGGAAGTTTTTAAGAACAGACTGGACAGCCATTTGTCTGAAATGGTATAGGGCAGTGGTGGCGAACCTATGGCACGCGTGCCAGAGGCGGCACTCAGAGCCCTCTCTGTTGGCACACACGCCACCACCGCCAGCACCAGGTCCATCAGGCCGCCACCACTGCCCGGAGCAGGAGCCCCGCCCAGCACAAAGGAGGCGAAGCGGCCGACTAGCAAGCTCGAGTAGAGGTGGTAGAGCAGAGGTCACCAACCACTGTCGATTGGTGGACTGGAAGAAAAGGGAGGGGGAAGCATTTTACATGCGTGCATGCACGCATGGGGCCACGAGCATGCATGCGCTGCAAATGGGGCGGAGCTAGTGCCTGCGTGATACTCTTTAGCTCTGCCCCGTTCTTGCGTGGTGCAGTTCCTTGTATCAGCACCCTGCGGCACGGCAGCGGCCATTTTTGCGCCTTGCAGCACATTTTTGCGCCCCCAGTTTTTGCGTGCCAGAGGCGGCACTCAGAGGCACCTCCCTGCTCCCCCCTTCCCCAGGGTACCACAATGCTGATGCGGCCCTGGCACTTTGCGATAAATAAGTGGGTTTTGAGCTGCAGTTTGGGCACTCGGTCTCTAAAAGGTTCGCCATCACTGGTATAGGGTTTCCTCCCTGAGCAGGGGGTTGGACTAGATGACCTCCAAGGTCCCTTCCAACTATTATTATTACTATTATTATTATTATTATTATTACTACTATTACTATTACTATTACTATTACTATTACTATTATCCGCTCTCGGGCACCAGCGATTAAATTCTTTTTTAAATTCTTTTCTTTTTTCTTTTTTCTTTTTCAGCTTCATGCCTTCTTTCTTACGGCTGGGATCCTGGAACATAGTGATGTTTGTGTCCTACGAGCAACTGAAACGGTTGATGGTTTTGGCTCAGGTCTCTTGGGAGGCCCCCTTCTGATCCGATCCGATCTGGGCCAGGGTCTCCTCCAGCCGATGAGAGAACCACAAAAGGGGGGGGGACTTTTAAACTCTGCAAACAGTTCTTGCCGGGGATGGCAAGCCTGCCTATCAATTATATTAATTGCCGCCAACGCTGTGCCCATTGAGGCACGAGACTTAAACACGCTGCAAGAAGACTTTTTAGCACGTTAACGAGGCGCAACTAGACATGGATCACACATCCTTGCTCAGCAAAAGCCGGCCAGATGTGGATCGGATAGCACGGGGTCTCCGTGAAAGGATCCCGAGAGGTAAGGATCCTAAAATGCTACAAGGCCACCGTATCCTAGCTTGATCCATATTTCTGAAACAGGTTAACAGCTGTGGGGTTTTTTCAAAATCAGCCCCTGGAAGATGGGTGGAATTCTGGGAGTTGAAGTCCACCCAGCTTCCAGAAGCCAACTTTGGAAAACATTGTGTTAGACTGCAGGGGTCTTCAAACTTGGCCCCTTCATGACTTGTGGACTTCAACTCCCAGAATTCCTCAGCCAGCATGGGGGAACTATGGCCCCTTCATGACTCGTGACCTTCAACTCCCAAAATTCCTCAGCCAGCATGGGGGAACTATGGCCCCTTCATGACTTGCAGACTTCAACTCCCAGAATTCCTCAGCCAGCATGCCTGGCTGAGGAATTCTGGGAGTTGAAGTCCACAAGAAGGGGGTCTTCAAACTTGGCCCTTTGATGACTGGTGGACTTCAACTCCCAGAATTCCTCAGCCAGGTATGGATGGAAACTAACCAAAGAGAGAAGCAACCTAGAACTAAGGAGAATAGTGATAGTGAGAACAATTAACCAGTGGAACCACCTGCCTCCAGAAACTGTGAATGCTCCAACACTGGAAGTTTCTAAGAAGAGACGGGATAGCCATTAATAATAATAATAATAATAATAATAATAATAATAATAATAATGATGATGATGATGATGATGATGATGATGATGATGATGTTGGGAGGGACCTTGGAGGTCATCTAGTCCAACCCCCTGCTCACGCAGGAAACTCTATAGTATAATATAGGGTTTCCTGCCTGAGCAGGGGGTTGGACTAGATGTCCTCCAAGGTCCCTTCCAACATCATCATCATCATCATCATCATTACGGAATAAGGGCTGCTTTAGGATTTCTGTGATTTTCTAGTGCTGCCAAGCTTGAAACATTTTATGTTTTCTTTTTATCAGAATGTCCCAAGTTTTGATTGACTTTATTACTTTGTTCCGCGCTCAAAACATTTTTTAAAAAGAATATGCAAAAATTTAGACCGCTTTGGCTAAACCATCTTCCTTTCTCCTTTTTTTTCTAGTGAAGGAACTGGTGGAAAAAGAGAGCCCGTTTTTCTGAAATCCTGCTAGGACACTCTGCTATCAAAATAAATTATAACAAATTACAAGTGCTTCTTCCCACAACAGACTTTCAGGGAATTGAAATCAAAGCCCTTTTGCCTTGACTCCAGTACTGTACATTTTCCCTTTTCTCTCAATAAACTTTTTTAAAAAAATTGCAAATACATCTGAGATTTATATCAGTATCACTTATCACAATGGCTTACTCACAATTATTTTTTGACATAAGTCAGTATTCATATAAAAATGGGGTGGATTAACCGACCTGAAATGAACAAAAAAATGGCATAAATTATAATTATCTAATATAAAACTCAGCATTACGCTGCAATCCACCTGACAAGCACACAATATCCAGTCATGTGACTATGTGTGTGGTTGTGTGTGTGTGTGTGTAGCCCTCAGAGCCAAGTTATAAGTAGCTTTTGGGCAGCTAGTCCTTAAGTGAGCATTACTCGTCCTTTTACATATATTCACATATTCATTTTTTTCTTAGGACAATTTTCACTGAATTGTACGGAGAGATTTCTAGCCTGATTCTTTTCCACTTCCAACGACTGAGTTATTCTTAGTTAAAAAGAGACTAAAATAGTTTTTTGTTTCAAATCTGGCAACTTTACAATATGTGGACTTCAATTCCCAGAATTCCCCCAGCCAGCATGGGGAACTTTGGGAGTTGAAATCAACACATCTTAAAAGTCATCAAGTTTGAAAAGCAGAATTTTGACAAGTCTCTCTGAAAGGGACCGAGTTTTTGATGAAAAAAAAATAAAGATTTTGACACATTATAATAAACAAAAACAAAAATTTTGATCAAATACGACTACACAGGGTTCAGACCAGGGGTAGGCAACCTTGGCTCATTTATGACTCGTGGACTTCAACTCCCAGAATTCCTGAGCCAGCATGAAGGAAACTTTGGCCCCTTCATGACTCGTGGACTTGAACTCCCAGAATTCCTGAGGCAGCATGAGGGAAACTTTGGCCCCTTCATGACTCATGGACTTGAACTCCCAGAATTCCTGAGCCAGCATGGGGAAACTTTGGCCCCTTCATGACTCGTGGACTTGAACTCCCAGAATTCCTGAGCCAGCATGGGGAAACTATGGCCCCTTCATGACTCGTGGACTTCAACTCCCAGAATTCCTGAGCCAGCATGAGGGAAACTTTGGCCCCTTCATGACTCGTGGACTTCAACTCCCAGAATTCCTGAGCCAGCATGGGGAAACTATAGCCCCTTCATGACTCGTGGACTTCAACTCCCAGAATTCCTGAGCCAGC